CTCATTTTTACTTTTACGATTTTTATTTCTGAGTCTATTTTCATTATACAATAATTTTTCTGTTCTAATAATCTTACAATTTTCAACAAAAATTGCACGATACTGATTTGAATAAAGTTCGTGTCTATAATTGAAATTATAAATGAAGTTGAAAAAAAATGAACAACATATCATAAATACACGCATATATTTTTTTAGTCAATTTACCTTTGTGTATGATAACTCAATGGAGTGAAACATAGAGGACAAGATAATATGGCATCTGTTCCACTCGGTATCTCTGATGATTTTGACGTCGATACTTTTTGTTTAGCCTTTGAAGAATATCCTATATGAACACACAATAATGATTAATAAAGTTTAAAATAACAAAAACATTAATAGAGTATATTTAACATACGAGATAATTTCTTTTCCATCCAAAGTTCATCTTGATTGTCTAATTCTGGGTCATATAAAAGTTCATCATTCGTCAATTTTTTCCTTTGCTCTTGATTTAACAATTTCTTTGATTCTAAAAAAAAAGACTATTAATATTTGGCTTTGAATCAAAGATTTTCGAATTACAAAGAAATAAATGATAATATGACAATACTTTTAGAAGAAGCTTCTGGAACATCAGATTCTTCTTCGTCTGTTGTGTCCGAATCGAAGTATAACTTATCATAATATTCTTCTTCATTATCCGTATCATTATTAACGGGAAGGGTTTTTGAAAAGGACATTACAAACAAGTTTAAAATTTAGAATGGAACCGCATTGATAAATTAATAATCTCACGTGATTCGTGATACAAAATCTTGCTATATAATGATCGCCAAATTCGTGATTACGCGTTTCGATTATTTCACGTATTAAAATGCCACCAAAACGAAAAATACCTCCCTGTGGTAATCCTTTATATTTAAAATGGTTAGAAGAATGGATGCAAGAAGCTAAAGCTATCAATAATAATAAAAGTTATTATGTTTATAAAAAGGTTATATTAAAATATTTTTTGAATTTTATATACGATTTATTTTCGTTATTTATGTATGTTCATTATAAAGGCACATGATTCAGTGGAAAAATATCCAATACCTTTTCAACACCCAGCTGAAACCGTAATTTTAAATGGTATTGGTCCTACATTAATACAAAAATTAGAAAGAAAACTAAAGCAGTATTGTGAAGAAAACAGACTACCTATGCCTTTACGACCTGGTAGCTTTCAAATAATATTATCATTATTATCATTTTATCAAATTTTAATTAAAATAATTAAAATTCAATTATATAGATGAAGAAACAATACGTACATTAAGTCAAAACATTGATCAAAATCAAGAATTTAAATCTACTGAACATGAATCGAAAAAACAAAAGAAAGCTACGATACCTAAAACCTATGTCCCACAATATCGTTCAGGATCTTACGCAATTATGTTGGCACTTTACAAATCTTGTGAATTTGAATCAACTCCATCAATGACAAAAACAGAACTTATAAGAGAAGCACAACAATACTGTGATGCATCTTTTGATATGCCAAGTGCTCACCAAAAATATTATACTGCTTGGAGTTGTATGAAAACTTTATTGGATAAGGATTACGTTTACAAAAATGGTTATCCAGTAAGATTTTCATTAACTGAATCCGGGCTCAAAATTGCAAAACAAATGGTACAGACCGCGAAATCACAAGGAAAAGTGATTTTCCCAAATGTTGATATAGATCAACTTGGAGCTAGAAAGTATGCTGAACGCGAAATATCTCTTTCTGTTAATGATAATTTAAATTATTCTAACGATAAAGAATCAGGAATTATCGCCTTAAATAATTCAGAAGTATTTTTGACAAACGATTTCAACAAAATTGGAAAAGGTCAATTAATTCGATCGACAACTTCAACGATATCATCTGTTAGTAAATCAAACTCATTTTGTGACATTAAGCCTGTAGAATGGGCACCCGGTACTTTTGAAGTAATTTTAATTTTGGATAACAGAGAAGTCAAATTAAAGAAGGATCGTGATTATATTCAAGACACTTTACAACAAAAAGGTTTAAAGATATCAGTTAGAAATTTGGAACTTGGTGATGTTATTTGGGTGGCACGTAAATATAATAGTTTCACACAAGAAGAGATTGTCTTGGACTACATTATAGAAAGAAAAAGGATGGACGACTTGGTTAGTAGTATTAAAGATGGAAGATTCAGAGAGCAAAAGTTTCGTCTTTCAAGATCTGGTATAGGTCAAATTATTTATCTTATCGAAGATTATAATCTGAAAGAAGTTGCAGAATTTGGAATTGATGCTATTAAATCTGCAATGACATCCACTCAAGTATTGAATGGTTTCTTTTTGAAACGTACTGGCGCAATTGATCAAAGTATTGATTATTTGGTTAGAATGACAAATATGCTAAAAAAATTATATGAGGTTTATATTGTTAAATACAATTTATTATATCTCAAATTCTTGTGTTATTAACCTTCTTTCATTTTTTTCTAGAATAAAACTATATATTCTATTCCAGATGGAGCAATTTATCGTGCTAATTTCTTGGACTTGAAACAAAATCTCGCCACTATTTATACGAATCGTACATTTCATGTCTCATTTGCTTCATATTCCGACCTTAATAGTAAAAGTAAGTCTTTAACATTGAAAGATACTTTCATAAAGTTTTTAATGACTATTAGAGGGTTAAGTGCTGAAAAAGCTGCAGAGATTGTAAAAATTTATCCAACTCCACATCATTTATTTGATGCTTTCGATTTTTTGGACAATGAAGAAGAAAAAAAGAAAATGCTTATGAACGTTGGTGGAAATATGATTCGTAGAAAGAATATTGGTTCAGCTCTAAGTGAAAAAGTTTATCAAATTTGGAATAATGATGTTTACTTGTAAAAAGAATTTAAAAATCGAATTAATGTTAACGTGGTCCGATCAATAAAAACTATAAAATTGCGATTAAAAAACCTTTCCACCCGCGTAGTTTGCTAGCATTTAACAATTACCGTAAATGAAATGGAACGTCTAAAGATCGAAAAAATTCATCAGAAGATATAGCTACACAACAGTCCCGTGATTGGCATAGCAATCAGATGAATCACTTTGCTATAAATTTCGTCTTTTTTCTTTTTTTTTTTTGAAAAACACGGTGAAGTATCATCTTAATAAAAATTTTAGTTAGCTTAGCTTATAGAAGCTTGAAGCTTACAGAGATTTATTAGTTCATGTTTTAACAGCAGATAGTAAAAGATATAAATATATATTTTATTAGACTGTATAGAAGAAAAAATGTAAACAAAACTAATTGTCCGGAGCGAAGCGAAGGACTATGTGTTTTCGAAGTGACGATATCCGGTTGTCCGCACGCGTCACGTCATTGAAATTCCGTGCTACATCAGATGAAAATAAATTTGTATTACATCAGATAAATAAGTTCGATTTGCGTCAGATGACAACTGCATATTTTAAAGAAGGAAATTTCCACCAATATGAATCCGAACGTGTTGAAATTTTAGCATTATAATATATTTAAAAATGTGATGAACTAATTTACTTAGGCAATAAAGGCACATTAAGACTGAAAAATTTTATGTTTAATTATAGCTAAAATTTTGAATAACATTATCTGCGATATATAATTCAGCATTAATGGTATTTACTTGAAAACTTGAAATTTTCAGGATATACCGTATTTTATCGAAATTAAGCACCCCCTTTTTGGAGCGAAAAGTTTGGGGTGGTGCTTAATTTTGATACTTTTTTTTAAATTCAACCGTTAACGATTTTTTTCTTATGGCGCAGTTTGCTAAGCTGCGCACATGATTGAATTAAGGGTTTTTTATTTCAATTACGCGTATAAACGCGAATTTTGAGTTTCGCATGACCTTTCTGGAAAAACAATGCCAAAGATTAAATGTCAACGTGCTTCGTATTCCATTGAACAAAAAAAAAATGTTGTTACTTACGCTACTCAACACAGAAGAAATGCGGCAGGCAGACATTTCAAAATTGACCAAACTATAATTGGACGCTGGATTAAGGCAAGCAAAACTTGGACAAGTAAAATAAATGATAAAAGTATGCGGGTGGGTTCTGGTCGAAAGGCTTTCTATCCTGAAGCTGAAAAGGAGCTATATGACTGGATTTTAGATCAAAGGAAAAAGAGATTAGCCGTAACATTTGTAACCATAAGAATTTCAATAAATGAAATTTTGGATAGAGCAGATATGGTAGCTCTTTATGGTGATTTAATAACGGAGTTTAAAGCAACTACAGGTTGGTTAAATGCCTTTATGAAGAGGCATAATTTAATAAGGTATCAGCGTACAAAAATATCACAAAAACTCCCTAAGCAATTAGAAGAAAAGTTGGAAGAGTTTTACCGGTTTGTTATTCACCTTGGAATTCAGAAATCTTTTGAATTATGCAACATATTAAACATGGACAAAATACCTGTATGGTTTGATATGGCCAGGAACTTTACAATTAATACAAAGAGGGAAAAAACTGTTCACATCTGTGGAATAGACAATGAAAACAACCAGTTTACTGTTGTTTTGACATGTGCTGCAGGTAAGATTATTTGATTTAGTGATTTTAATATAATTATTATTTTTTTTTAATTCTTCTTTTATTATAGATGGAACTAGATTACCTCCAATTTGTATTTTCAAAGGTAAACAAATGCCACGTGGTGAAAAGGCTCCTCCTAGTGTAGTTGTATGGGTTCAAGAGAATAGATGGATGAAAATTGAATTGATGAAATGTTACATTAATTATCTTAATTGTATGAGAAGTTCAAACAGCCAATCCAGATTTCCAGCCATGATGGTATTTGATTCTTTTAGAGGACATTTGGAAGAATTAGTTAAAGAAAAATTTAAATAAAGCAATATTGATTTGGCAGTAATTCCTGGTGGTTTAACCAGTAAGTGTCAACTCCTTAATACGATATTGCTATCAATAAACCGTTTAAGGACAACCTTCGTAAAGAGTGGCATTTTTGGATGTCTAATGGTGGTGCTGGGTATACTGAAGCAGGAAATCTTCAACGTGCAAAGATAAGTGATGTTTGTAGATGGGTAAAATGTGCATGAAAAAGTATTTCTGATAATATTATTGTCTATTCTTTTAAAAAATGTGGTATATCTAATGTACTAGATGGATCAGAAGATGATGCTATTTATAAAGAAATTGATGAATTTCTTAGAGAAATTGAAAATGAAAGAGAAGAGGAGGAATTAGAAATTGTTGATATAAATGATAATAATGATAGTGAATAGGGAATTTTTTTTTACTATGATCGTTATATTTATAAATCATATATCAATAAAGTATGGGGTGCTTATTTTCGATGGTGCTTATTTTTGATTTTTGCTTGAAGTTGTGCAAAATAAGGGGGTGCTTATTTTTGAGGATGCTTAATTTTGATAAAATACGGTACACAAATAATTATGGTGCACAGATTTACTTATAAAATAAAAGACAATTTAATTAATAAATAAAAATGTTTATTTATAAGAAACTATTTAAAATTGGCATCTGACGCAAATTGATATCTGACACACAACATAAATATACTGATATGTTCTTCACCATTATTTATCACAACGTGGCCCTAACCCTTTGATATTAGTAAAAAGAACTAAAATTAAAATTTTTGAAAAAATATCAATTAAACAAATTTTAATTTCAATTTACTGGAATTAAATAACAAACAAATTTTTTTAATAAGTCAATTAAAGATATCTTCTATGTATATATATATTTTTATTATAATATATAGGCTCTGTGCAAATATTTTAATAGTTTTTTTTCTTGAATTAAAAGATCGATTGTAGGATAAGGAGATAAGATAAAAAGCAAAAATTTTATATATATAAAATCCACACATTTGGCAACAAATCTGTAAAATTTTGAAGTAATTTTAATCACTGGTACTTTTTTCACGTACTGTACATTATTATTATTTGAAAAAAAAATTATCTCCTCCAGCTATCACTAATGATGACAATTTTAATTATGTAGCTTGCATGATTTAGAAAATGTAATTCCTTTTTTCCATTTATCTGGAACATCAATGACCGGCAGGACTTATTAGACAGTGATTTTTTTTCTAGACAACATTTTAAAATTAAAGAAGTAAATGCAGAGACAATGTGAATAAAAATACTGGTTTTTTAAAACAGGCCAATGTCCTGAACCATCTACAGTTGGCTCGCATTATAATGAATTTAGTGTTCATGCTGATTTGACCTTTGTTATGGAAAAATTTGGTAACACTATAACAAATTTTTTTGACATCCATATGGCAAAATTCAGAATATTGTATAACAAATTTTTATTAAAAATTTGTTAAATATTTTAAAGTAAATTTATGTAAATAAATGTAAATTATAATATATTTATATTATTTATTATTACCGTTGGCCACTGCATAAAGTACCCCCCAAAAATAATACCCCCCGTGATTAAGACCCGGGTATTATTCACCACCCTTTGTGATCTGTCCATGTATAGTACCCGGGTACTTTTCAAAGTCAAATGTTGTTAAAATTGATTAAGACCCGGGTACTATATCAATTATATCAATGATTTGTAAAATAAGGAAAGTTGTAATGTTTGCTTTAATACTATAAGGAGTTAAAATGCTCTCGTGATACACCTTAGTTTAGTTAACGTTAGTTACACGATCCCTTAAAAATAGCTACTCATGTTCTGTACGGTAACATCAGATCTCTTTATATAAATGCAAAAATCGTATTTTGTAATTTTTTTATCTTTATTTCAAAAATAATTTTTTGTTACAACTTTATACACGGGTATATTGAAATACAAGTACTTCTAAAGTTTATTTGTTTTATCTGATATTTCCTTCAACTAGTCCCAAATGTTTACATAATTTCCCTCTTCATTATCATAATATCCACTTTCTGAATTATTTTCACTTTCCTCACCACTTTCCTCACCACTTTCTTCACCGCTTTTTTCACCACTTTCTTTACCACTTTCTTCACCACTTTC